CAATGTGGTTTCTCTCAAATGCAATCAATGCTACAAAAGAATGTAAACAAGCAGGTGCATCAAAATAACAAGATAAGGAGAAGCTGTAGCAGAAGGACACAATGCACTGATAAAAGGAAATGGAGAAATGTCTCAAGCATGTTGCTTATTTGTGCAAAGGGCTGAAAAAGAAGACAGTTCTGTCATTGTCCCCTGACCAGTCCCAGATATCAGGCTCTTAAGAGCCACAAAACACTTGGACTCCACAGAACTACTAATAAGTAGAAAAGAAAGCAATCAGAATAAATGCAGAGGCCTTATCCAGAGCAGCTAATCAAGGCATGTTTGCTGTCCAAACCACAGGGACATCCACTTCTAGCCTCCGTGAAGATAGTGCAGTGCAGCTCCAACCGAGTTGTGGGAGCTCAGTGGGATCAACACTGTTGTCTTCACTGAGCCTGGCTGTTGAAGGATCAGCTTCCACACTCTGAATGTTCTCAAGGGTCTGCTATAGTTACGTGTGCATTAAAGGGAATGCATTGAACTGGATGCATTGAATGAATACTTGAACACAAAAAGGTACCTGATCTCATTACCCAAGATAAACAGTATACAAAGCATAATGAACTAGTCCTGGCTGGTTAAGGAGACTTGGAATAGTATATGGTGATTTTCACCCCTAGCTCAACACTGTGAGCTCTTCAGAGAATATGTAATTTTGTTAAATGTAGACAGCCCACACCCAGAAAGTCAGCATCTGGGAATCCTTCAACCTGAGTCCTGCGAACACAACCTGTACAGCCTGATCATGGGGGTGGAGGTTGCTCTTAAAGCTCTTTATGTCTTTTAATCCTACGCAGTTCACTAAGGTCCTGCTCCAGAGTACCAGCCACTTCAACTGCATTAAACACACCAAAGAATCATGTAGCAGAGGAGGGCTGTGCATCAGAGAGTCGACTTTGCTTCTTCTTGCTCGGCTCAGAAGACCCCAACTGAAGATGATGTGTGCCAAGGCCTAAATGGGAATAAGAGTATTTCTGCTGTAACATATATACTAGCCCAATCCTGTAGGACCTGGCACTCAGTGATAACAGATTAGAGACGCCTCAAGCTGCTCCAAGTTGTGCCAAGAACCCAACAGGCTCCAGGATGAGGCAGGCCCACAGTCAAAGGCTGCAAACCTTCCCAAGCACTGAGTTCAGTTGGACGCAACATCTCTATTTGTGTCCCAGATCTTGAAAATTGCTTGTGTGCATCCCTTCTGCAGGCACTGCAATTTGCTTGACTCAAACTCGCAGCTTCCCTGCTGTTAACGAGAAAACAGTCCATACACCTTCTAAGGCCTCTCTGAGCAAAATGGTCTGGAGAAAGGTCAAGAAATTTTTCTGACAACAAGAGCCCAGGCTCTTTAATCTTCTAAGGCTATTGAACCAATTCTGTATGTGTGTGGTTCAGTAGATTTCTGGGTTTATGCCTCAAATTTGTAGAATATCCAAGGCAGACCAGACTTCTCCCATCTAACTTCCAGGTAGTCTGTTTGCAGAGAATGCATAAAAACACAGATTGTATCATATTTGAGTATCCTTTAACACGAGCATGTGTAGAATTTACTTCAGATTAAGGACTGATATATGCAAGCACACAATCCAGAACAGACACACTGCCTGGCACAGCTCCAATGCCGTTCTGGGCTTTTCCCTGGTTAAGAAACTGCATTCTCCAAAGTCTAGATGAAGTGTATTGAAAAGGGAGAGAGGAGGTGAGTTTGCAGGCAAAAGATGAGCTGCTGTTTGTTCCTCGGAATTTAAAAGACCAAGAGGAATGTATTTCTGGGAAGCCTGCTAAAAATTATACTAAGAGGCCAGCTGCCAATTTAGGCAATATCTGTAACAAAATAAGTATGAGCCACTTCAGAAGAAATCGTTTGAGAATCCAGCTGCTCTTTTTTTGCTCCAGAGTGCCAGGCATAACAACCACAGCAAGGATCTTCAATGAAATCTGTTTGTGATTACAGAATGATGACAGGTAGTGAACAAGAACTCATTAAAATTCTGTCTTCTGAACGCAGTGAAAAACCAGTAGTATCAATGAAGGCCAGGCATGCTGGAATCTCCTTAGCATTTGGTGAAAGAAGACTGCAAGGCAGCATACAGTTCCAGAAGACCCTCAAGGCTCTGATGACTCTATCCAGAGCAGCACAGTGGGAACAGTGTATGGCTAGATATGTCATGGCTGGCTCAAGAGGCTCACGTGGCTCTTGTCTTATCTCTGCACCAAGGCGTCTGAAGAGGCTGTATGCAGAAGAACCTAATGATATCCCCCAAGCCCACATCTCAGAGCGATGGTGTGGCTGGCTCTCATACTACAGAGTTGAGAAATGCAGGTCAAAGCCTGCATCTTTTCCTCCTTCTCTTTCTTCCTCTCTGAATCCAAATCACTGCATCTTTCACACACAGCAGCTGATCTCTTGCCTTGGTGCAACAAGGAAGCTGTGAAATATTTCAGCACTTTGCTACTTTGCTAGTCCACAGGCAGGCAACACTGAAGTCATCTTATCCATCATCAGCCTTCACAATACTCTAAGTTATTGGGAAAGTCATTTTAAGAGAAATGCAATGTTCATATGTTCAAAAGTTCAAATACTTTTGCATTTCTCTATAACTATACATTTCTGGAGTCCCAGAAACTCTAAATTGTATCACTTCAAAATCCAGGATTTTTATCTTCAGTCTATGATTTGATGACAGAAACACTAAAGGAGAATGAACATTCAGCCATTTCCTCAAGAAGTACGATCAGAAATGACTGCTCTGCATGGAAAGCACTTGGATCCCCTGGGCTCCTGTTAACGCAGAACTGTCTTTTCTGGCAGATGAACAGTGACAGTGCAGATCTTCAAACACCTTCTTTTGGTTAGCATTTGCTGCCCTTCCACATTCACCAATTCAGTTCCCATCTGGTTTTAGCAACTGGTATCTCAGGACCCATCAGAAACAAATCTTTTTACCATTTGCAAGTAGGAAATTATGGCTTCCAAATTACATGAGATAATTACGTCTGTTTTGCACGGCACATAAAACCTTGATGGAATTTGTCACTGAGCTCATCAGCTGTCATAGCAGCCCCTTTTGAAGGTAGACTGTTTCTTCACAGGGCAGGAATTACCTTGGTTAAATCAGTCTTTCTGCTGAAGACACTTCATAATTACCATGTCTATCCTTCATGAGGGATAATAGAGCCTAAAGATTATATCTGCACACGGCAGGGCCTCAGGTAACTCTTGCTATAATTAGTAATTTATCTGATCTGAAAGTCTTATCTGGATTCAAGTTTTTTCAAAAAGAAATAGCCCTGAGATCTATGTTTTTGGCACCAGCACTTTGCTCAGAGAAAGATGTTGGACCATACGCTCCTCTAGGCTCAAAAGGCTGAGCCCTCCCAAGCATGGGAACACTGGAATTATTGGGGCCTCATGGGGCTGCACCTACACCACAATAGTGTCTGTCTTCCCTCATGTTTCAATGAGGGATGCTGTCAGAATGAACTTACAGTGCCACAGAGACATTAAAGGCAGTGACAGCTACCCTAAAACACAGGTCTTTGGTGTAGAAGGGCTGCTCTCATCTCACACACATGGAAAGTGTCGAGGACCACAGCAACTGGTTTCTGTCCTATGCAGCTCCCTTCGTGTCAGAAGAGCTAAGCCTGGGAGGACTGGGAGAAACTGCTGATACCATGTCTTTCCTCTATACCTGATCCTTCACTAGAAAGTGAGAACACAGGAGCTCAGCAGAATGTGTTTCCATATGGCTTTTCCTACTCCTGCCAAAACAGTGGAGTACCAAGAGTGGAGGGGAGTTTTGCTAAGCGTAGTCCAGCTCACAGCCCTTACAGGAGAGGTGATGGCTCTGTTCAGATTCATCCTTCAAGGCCTGAGGAGGCAAGTTGCCTAGCAAGCATCATGCCGTGCAGTGGCAGTGGGACTAGGCTGAGATCCACAGATGTAAATATCTTTGGCAGAACCTCTCCACTCAGAGGTGTCTGGAAGAAAACCATCAGTTCTGGGCTTCTCCAAGCTGGGCACAGTGGTGCCTGTTGTGCCTTGATGCTGACTACAAAACTCCTGGGCTCAGCAGCCAAGCTGGGCACTGCCTCACCTCACTCAGTGGCTGGGCACAAGACATCAAGTCCCACTCCCAAGGCACCAGATCAGGCTTATCCACAGGAGCCCAGGGACAGGCAGAGGTGTGCACTGGCTTGGGTACATCCCCATCTCCAGCACTGAATCAGACTGTACTCTCATCCACATCAGGTTTGGAGGGTGAACCAAGATGCTGTTGGGCTTTTTAACTGGGATAAGTTTGAACCAGAGGTGAAAAGCTCTCACATTCTGTTCCACATTCCTCAGACTATGCAGCCCCACTTTAATCCCACCAAGAAATTTCATTTTAAGTATACATAATGCTTCTCCTTGCTATTTTTCTGTTCTTTTGGATTTTAGTATTTGAAGGGTAACAATAAACAACCCCACAGCCCATTACATAGGTAAGCATGCAGTAGTGAAGAGCTGTGTGCTAAACCTGTTTCTGGGCCCATGAGAAGCAGACTGGGGGGGATAAAAGGCAGGTCTCTGCCAGGCACCCCTTAGGTGGCTGTGTCCTTCTGCTCAGAGGACAGGAGAGGACAGGAGGTGTCAGCTGGGGGCAAGGAGCTTTGACATAGCTCAGGGAGAGCTCAGGGACCTGAAGCTGCAGAGGGAAAGGGAAGAAAGGAAACAGCCAGGACAGGTATATTCATCTAAGAAAAGAAGGAGACGTCAGGAACAGCAGTGGCACTCACACAAAAAAGAAAATAGGAACCTTCTTCCCCTTCCCTCACCCTTCTAGATTCCCATTCTGAACCTGCACAGCTCAAACTGCAATTGCCAGAATTTCAGAGCTACCTCTCCTGCAGTTGCACAGAAGTCTCCTCTCCCACAGCCAAGTAATTTGCATGTTGACACAAGAACTACACTCACTTACTTGCAAGACAGCTGATTAATCCCTTCGATGTAGTAGCATACTCCTCCATTGACACAATAGGACTTGGCTGTTTCGTTGCATTTTCTAGCATGCCCAGACCAGGAGGAGAGAGTTGTGGTTACTGCAGGGAAAAAAAAAACACACACACACACACACACAAACACAAAAAGGATATAATGTTATTTCCTTTGTTGGGCAATTCTGTTTTCTTAGATGATTTTTAATTAGTTCACTTGCCAGAGTAAAAACCCTGGAGCTACAAACCTCAGCCCATGCCTTTAGACCTATGTTCACCTTTCCAGGAGCTGGGGCTACAACTTGACCTCACTCTTCCCGGAAGAGGTGGCGAAGTGAGTGGGGAGCTGAGGACTTGCCCTCCTCCAAGTTACTAGCGTGTCAGGACAAGATCATCCCTTTGGTAAACTGTGTGGAGAAGTACCTTTCCCCAGCTCTCCTTCGTCCTTCTTTTTTGAGTGCATGCTATCCTGCACCAGCACTAGGAAGCCCAGAACACGTTCTCAGAATCACAGAGCGAGGTGGCATGCTGCTGAGGCCTGATTTGCATCATAATGCTGGACCAAGATCCAGAGAAGTGTCCAGCAGAGCACACTTCAGTGACTGGAGGATGCTTCGACTGCTCCACATCTCACAGAGGAAATGATTTTTCAGCTCATGAAGCAAATGCCCTCACTGTGCACAGAACAGGTCCAGTGCAAATAGAAACAACTCCATCTCTTCCTCCCCTATTTCTGAGCATGTCTCTGTATTGTCTGTGGTTCTGCTTCTAGAGACCAAGCAGAAATCCGGCATGATAAGGCAACCAGTCCCAGTCTGTGCTAAGAAGGTGGAAGTAAGCATGACTCAAGTTTCCCTGGGTACCGATGCTTTTCCAAAAGCATCCATGGCCTTCCTGCCATGTAAGGCACAAATAAAATGGAAGTTGAGGATAGATGATTCCACCAACACAAAGAATTCCCCACAAACACCCCTGAAATATGAAAACTCCCAAACTTCTGTAGGGAAATTCACTTCTTCCTTCCACTTAATCTTACTGGGATCTCTTCCAATTCAGTTTAATGGGAACTAGAAACCAAAACCATCATAATGGCTTTGTAATGAGTTTGTATGATTTTTATAGCAGCACATTGCTTCCATGACCAGTGGAGAACTGTTTGTTGAGGACTGAGGAGCTCTAAAGGATAGCACCTAGAGAATCTGCAAGGCCATTCCTTCAGCTGAGTACTTTACACCATGCTGCATGATGTTTTAACACCAGTGTGAATTACAGCCCTGACCAGCTAGAGATTCATCTGATTGGGATTATAATGGGATATTCATCCAATTATAAACTATTTTCTTCTTTTAAACAGAATTAAAAAAGAGACTGACACGAATGAGGCTTGGGAAGTGCATGTCCCAACAGGAGCTGTGTCTATCAGAAAAAGAGGTGGTTGGTCAGTTCTCCTAGGAGCACCTTGTTAAAGTCATTATTTCTTAAATCCCGTTTTCTGCAAGTACCGTGTCTTTTCTTTCAGCAAAGCACAAGGTTTTTTAAAATTGAGTCACAAAATCACATTCTCACAATCTAGATGTTCAAAATGCTAAGAAAAAGAGATAGTCAGCTCAGGTCATGATTGAGAAGAGTGTCATGAAATGCAAGCTGCTGTCAGAACAAAAGTTGAGCTCTACTGGTCAAACACTAGCCCCGACACGAGTCTGACAAATAGGCAATGCTTAAGGAAGGACAGATCAGCATGCAATGGCAGTTTTCTTCTGGCCATCTAGGATAGGCAGCTCAGGGAACCTCAAGTCAGCTGCAGTGCCTGTGATGGATTTCTCTTACATGAATGTGTCTAGCTGCTTGAATAGATCTAATCTTGTAGCATCCACATTATTTGTGACAAGAACTCTGGTGTTATGTACACAATGTGAAAAGACACATCTCAATTTACTTTTTTGAAACTTGACCCTTTCTAGCCCTTGCATCAGAAGAAAAGAGTCTTCATTTCCACACATTTCCCCTGTGCTACCTGTGGCTTTGCTGGCACAGGCAGCATCTTCTTTGCCAGCTAAAGTGCAATGATTTAGTAGCCTCCTACACACAGGTTACTTTGTTGTAAGCCTTTCTGTGCCATCTTTGTTTCTACTTTTCCTGTTGAAGATGACGAGACCAGAGCTGCAGGTAAAGTGTGGCCTAGGGGTGCACACGGGGTTCATAATAATTCCCAATGTTCATTTTGAGATTGGAGCTACTGAATGCAGACCTTATTGATAATAACCCCGAAATCTCAGTCCTCCATGGGGACAGTGAGTGCAGAGCCTCCAAAGGGGCTTGACTGCTCTGGGATATTGCTGAGGCCAGGACTTCATGTCCTCGGGGCCAGAAGCTAAGAACAGTTAGTGAGGAACCTGCCAGTCCAGGGAGCAGGAGTAGCAAGAAACAAAATGTCTTGCTCAGAAAATGTAATCACATCTGGTTTGCAGTGCAGCCCTCCTGCAACCCTCCTGGGCTGCACATCACAGAGACACAGCTTGAAGCATGAAGCATGGAGACCAAGGGGGATTTCAGTGGGTTTCCACCACACTGGCAGAATAATTCAGACTCACAAGCGACTGTGTTCCGTCACTGTACTTTGTGTGCATTTCCTCATCAGCCTGAGCCACTGGAAATACCTTTGCAAGTACCTGCTCCTGAGTCATCTGCAACTCAATAGCTGATGTCAGCAAAGTGAGCTCCATCTGCAGTTTATCTGCAGTCATGCATTCACTTCCACTCCAAACATCGCTCAGGTGTGCCTGGTGACCCAGGGAGACTTTCCGCAACTACAGCACCTTCATTGCCATGTCAGAGCAGGTAGATTTTACTCCCCACTGACTGGTGTGGTAGAATGAGGTCTTCATTCAGCTTCCAGCATAACCCCATCTACTCCAAAGAATTTGGAAAGTTATAAAGTTACTGAGATAAATGGAGATCTGAGTAGATCAGGGAGCGGTTTGGAGCAAGAAATGGCATGTTAGCTGCAACCTGGGTGAAAAGGAACTCACGTGAAGGCAATGGAAGAAAAGGAAGGGATTTGTGCAGTGACATCAGTCATGTATCTGCTGCCTCCTCCAAGCACTTCAGCAAATGAAGAGCAAGAAATATGGAGTGTGCATGAAAAATGCTGCAGAAAAGAAGTGGTACAATGAGACCAGTGGGAATAAGTATGGCAAGCCCTGAGACAGGGGCCTCTCTGAGCACACAGGCCAACTGGTCACAAAGCTCTGGCAAGGTGGAGCAAAGCCTGGAGCAGCTCACCCAAGTCTCTAGCCAGGCTCAGTTCTTGGGCTGAAAGCAAAGGAGAGGGATAAGGAGGGGAGGATGGGCAAAGAAGGATGCCTCTGACTGATAGGATTGTGAATGACTCCTCCTCCTCACCTTTCCTCTCCTCTCCGAACAGAAAGAACATCAGTAGTTATACCAGGAATCTTATGCAACTCATATCACGCATGCAGGCAGCTCGTCAGTCTGTTCTCAGGAATCGAGTGAAATATTCTGCCTTCAGTCTCCAAAGGGTTAATTAATGCAGCCTGGACTATAAATTACAGTTAATTTTTCACAAACTCCAGCTACTGTCGAGGAAAGCAGGGAAACAGAGATAGTTTCACTACTCTTTTTTTTTTAAATAATGTTGACTACTGAGTTCACAGAGTACAGACACTTTATTCTCTCAATATTTAGACATTCAGTTAGACAGATGAACTCAGCTGGTCAGAGAGTGTATACAAATTGCCTGCTCTGTATATGCCTCATGTACTTACTGATAAAACACAGAATTGCTGAGGTTCCCCTCAACCTAGTTCATCCAACTCCTTGTCGGGGGAACATGGCTGAGAAGGTATCTGGCAACCTATTCCTCAGCTGGAGCAGTGTAATCCTAGAGTGAGCCACACTAAATCCATGATTTACACTGATGAACATACGGAGGGACTGTTGACCCTAACCATTCTCTCAGTGGCAGATTTTTGTACATTTGGTACAGCACTCTCTTCTCTCACTAGAAGTGAATGGATGCTGGATGCTCATTGCTGCTATCTGTACATAAAATCAGAAGGGCTTGTGCAGACCGGGGCTTGCCTGGCAATGGATCAGTGACTCTAGAGCTCATAAAAATTCTGCTCCTTTGTGTTCCTATGTGTTTATTCATTTGGAAATGTTCCAGCATTTACTCCGGCATTTCATTGAAATAGATCCTGCTCAAATTGCCTTTCCATCTCCTGTGGGGATCATGAGCATCAAAAGCCAGACTAGAAGTTCACCCAAAAATACAAACGCCAGACTTCAGGACAGTCATCTGAGAACAACAGACATGGCTGATCAAAACCACACACACACATGTTCTGTATGGACTGTCCACATGTTCCAATGTAACAAGTTTAAAGACTTAGAAGCACCAAGGGACTGCCTGTTACTGAGGGAGAGGTCCTGCAGGGATGAAGTCCTGCATAATCAAAACCCCACCAGCTGCTTCTCCAAGCTGATCTCTCCAGTTTTATGAAGTAGCTCTTCCTAGGCTTTTCTTTGTTTTTCTCTATGTTTTAGCACCACATGATTTTATTTTTCCAAATCTCCATCATCAATTGTAATAGCAGCAACATGATACTTTAGCGAGGAGATCTGCTCAACAATTTAAAAAGCGGGGCTAGTGCCAGCACAAATGCTTTGCAGACTAGACCACTTAAGCCCAAGAAGAGAAGCAATGTGACAGGCCCACACGATGGAGTCAGACCAACAGGCAGATCCCCTGGTACATAGCCTCCTGCTCCTAAAGGTGGCCATATTGCCTTACTTCTTCAAGGGGATGTCAGCTTCCAACCCACGCTTTACTTTTCACAGATGGACTTCCCTTCTGTGCCTTTAGAGTCGTAATGGCCTGTCTTAACATCACACCTTCAGTAGCAGGCAGAATGGTTACTTCAGAAATACACTGTGCAAAATAAGCAATGAATGTGATCTAACACAACTCAGACACAGCAGAGCTCTCTCTGAAGATCGACAATGAGATCTCCGGCACATCCTCCTCAAAGTACCATGCCTGCATACGTGCAGGCTTCATTCAATTGCCAACCACACCTGCAGCT